AGAGGAAAACAGAAATCATCGTAACACAAAAACTGTTACTTCACGGGTCTCCACTCACACACCCCTCCCGGCAAAGCTCCAGAATCTTTCCTGTTGAGAGGATGGGAGAGCATGTCATGAGGTTGTGGAAGTACAAAGCACATCAGTTGCAAAGCCAAACTGTCTATCTTCCAAGAGGCGTAAGGTTTCAGGAATCTAGACCAGGCACGGTGGCTCATACCTGTAATTCCAGCACTTTGGGAGGCCGAGGTGGGCGGATCACCTGAGGTCAGCAGTTCGAGACCAGCCTGACCAACACAGAGAGACTCCCTCTGTATTAGAAATACAAACATTAGCTGGGCGTGGTGGCGCACACCTGTAATCCCAGCTGCTGGGGAGGCTGGGGCAGGAGAATAGCTTGAACCCAGTGAGTGGAGGTTGCAGTGAGCCAAGATCACGCCACTGCACTCCAGCCTGGAGACACAGCAAAATTCTGTCTTAAAAAAAAAGAGAGAGAGAGAGACTCGTGGGGAAAGTGATGGTGTCCTTGCCCGTTTTTGTAAATCCAATCCTCTTCATCCTGGAGCTGGGAAAATCACACACAACGGGAAGGATAACGTGTCTAGCAATCATACAGTTTGTCGGAAAAATTACAATCCTGCCAAATTGGCCCTTGACTAATTCTTTGCTGGTTCTATGAATGAACACACCCTGGCATTTATCACCTACAAGTTATTGAATATAAGACAAATTTAAGATACTTTGCTTTTTTTTCATTTTTCAAAATAACTGCTCCAACTCTTTGTCCCACAATTGGCACCATCACTGTGACATTCCCGTTTTACATTTGAGGGAGGCTTTCTTTCCAGTTCAGTTACCCTTGGGTACTGGAGAACAGTCAATGGCATGCAATGAGGCCTTCTTCCATTCTTCTAGATATATAAATTCTGCCCAGGCATCCATTTGGGCTGCCAGAAAGTCCCTGGACCACCACCTCAGCCTAGGACAACCTTCCACCTCTCATTTCTTTCCTACTGTCTTTATCTTGGATCTAGACCCAAACCAACCAACCAGTCCCTCACATATGTGCTTAACAGTGTCATCAAAAACAACATCCAGGCCGGGTGCAATGGCTCACATCTATAATCTCAGAACTTTGGGAGGCTGAGGCGGGCGGATCACCTGAGGTCAAGAGATCGAGACCAGCCCGGCCAACATGGCGAAACCCCATCTCTACTAAAAACACAAAAATTAGCTGGGAGTGGTGGCAGGTGCCTATAATCCTAGCTACTCATGAGGCTGAGGCAGGAGAATCGCTTAAATCCAGGAGGTGGAGGTTGCAGTGAGCTGAGATCACGCCACTGCACTCCAGCCTGGATGACAAGAGTGAGGCTCCATCTCAAAAAACAACAACAACAAACCCAGCATCCATGTTGTTCTTCAACATCCCTTTTATAAAGGTGATAAGTTTATTTCAGAGGGTTTTCTTTCAGGGGGCAGGATCAGATTTCTTGTATCTATTTGCCTACAGAGAGGGAGAATGAAGAAACAGGTGAATAAAAGCTAGTGAGCCTTTTGAAGATTTCAGATGGCAAAGCAATCCTCTGGCAATTTGCTTGTGGGGTATGTGTGGGTGGATGTGTGTTTAAATTTAGAGCCGACAGAAACTTAGACTTTCCTGGGAAGTTGATATGCTTCCTGTTTTTTGAGTATTAGAACCATGAAACTCATCATCTCTCCTTTTGTGTACTGGCTGCAAGAATGCTCAAAAATGAATTTCCCCTTGATTGATGCCTATTTTGATCATTTTCTGTATGCATGCCTTTTATTTTAGGCCTCCAGAAATCATCATTGGAAGGAGCATGCTTCATTTGACTTGACTTGGATTGGATACGAAGTCATCCAACGATGAGAAGAGGGAGTCAAGATCCTCCTAGGGGCTTCGCTGGTGTAAATGTCAGAGGTGTTTGAACCAGAGCAACTCTATCTTCAGTAGGGGCTGGGTAAAATGAGGCCGAGATCTGCTGGGCTGCATTCCCAGACAGTGAAGACATTCTATGTCACAGAATGAGATAGGAGGTCAGCACAAGCTACAGGTCATAAAGAACTTGCTGATAAAACAGTTTGCAGTAAAGAAGCCGGCCAAAACCCACCAAAACCAACATGGCCATGAGTGTGACCTCTGGTCGTCCTGGCTGCTACACTCCCACCAGCACCATGACAGTTTACAAATGCCATAGCAACACCAGGACATTACCATAAAGGGTTTAAAAAGGGGAGGCACGGCCGGAGATCCAGCCACTGTACTGCAGCCTGGGCGACAGAGCGAGACTCCGTCTCAAAAAAAAAAAAAAAGGGGCCGGGAGGCACGAATAATCCACCCCTTGTTTAGCATATCATCAAGAAATAACCACAAAAATGGGCAACCCACAGCCCTTGGGGCTGCCCTGCCTATGGAGTAGCCATTCTTTATTCCATTACCATTGGAGGGTATCCAGGTTCTTGGCATCTTGAACAAAGAATTGGACAAAACGCACAAAGCGACCAGGCGTCGTGACTCACACCTGTAATCCCAGCACTTTGGGAGGCTGAGGCGGGTGGATCACCTGAGGTCAGGAGTTCAAGACCAGCCTGGCCAACATGGCGAAACCCCATCTCTACTAAAAATACAAAAGTTAGCCGGGCATGGTGACGCACATCTGTTATCTCAGCTACTCAGGAGGCTGAGGCAGGAGAATTGCTTGAACCTGGGAGGCAGAGGTTGCAGTGAGCCAAGATGGCACCACTGCACTGCAGCCTGGACGACAGAGCGTGACTCCCGAGGCTCCGTCTCAAAAAAAGAAAAAAAAAAAATGCACAAAGCAAGAAAAGAATGAAGCAACAAAAGCAGAGGTTTTTTTTGTTTTGTTTTGTTTTGTTTTTTTGTTTGTTTGTTTTTTCTGAGAGGGAGTCTCACTCTGTCACCCAGGCTGGAGTGCAGTGGCCGGATCTCAGCTCACTGCAAGCTCCGCCTCCCGGGTTTACACCATTCTCCTGCCTCAGCCTCCCGAGTAGCTGGGACTACAGGCACCCGCCACCTCACCCAGCTAGTTTTTTATATTTTTTAGTAGAGACGGGGTTTCACCGTGTTAGCCAGGATGGTCTCGATCTCCTGACCTCATGATCCGCCCGTCTCAGCCTCCCACAGTGCTGGGATTACAGGCTTGAGCCACCGCACCCGGCCAAAAGCAGAGATTTTTTGAAAACAAAAGCACACCTCATACTGTGGGGGAGGCCCAAGTATGGGGGCTCAAGCGCCCTGTTACAGAACTTGCGGGGGTTTAAATACTCTCTAGGGGTTTCTACTGGTTACTTGGTGTACGCCCTATGTAAATGAAGAGGATGGAGTAAAGTTACAAAATCATTTACTCCGTGTACACCCTATGGAGGGGACATTTCCTGTCACGGCTGAAGTGTTCCCTGCCTCCAGACCCTATTTTCCTGCCTCAATTCCTTTATTTTTCTAATAAACTTGCTTTCACTTTATGGACTCACCCTGAATTCTCTTTTGGGGTTTGGATCAGGACCCCTTTCGGGTAATACAGACAGAAAATACGGCCTTGACCCGGGTGTCAGGAAACGACAGAAAGGCCTCTGACGCTGGGGTTCTGAAGGGGTGTTAACCCCCGCCGAGGAAGGCTCTGGAGGCTCCAATCACTTTCAGCCTCTGCTAAAGATGCCCGATCCTGCCAACAAAACTTCCAGCAGCCCGATGTGGTGGCTCACACCTGTGATCCCAGCACTTTGGGAGGCCAAGGAGGGCGGATCACCTGAGGTCAGGAGTTCAAGGCCAACCTGACCAACATGGTGAAACCCCATCTCTACTAAAAATAAAGATAAAAAAAATTAGCCAGGCCTGGTGGCGCATGCCTGTAATCCCAGCTACACAGGAGGCTGAGGCAGGAGAATTGCTTGAACCCAGGAGGCGGAGGTGTAGTGAACTGAGATTGGGCCACCTCACTCCAGCCTGGGTGACACAGCAAGACTCCGTCTCAAACAAAACAAAAATCCTTCCAGCCTGGAGAAACTGAGGCTGGGCAGTAGGGAGTGAGGGGGGTCCCTGGGAGGAACCAGAACTCATCCTGCTTCAGGATGGAGCTGGCCCCCTTCTTGGCCTTTGCCAGGGCTTCGTGTCACGGAGCGACCAAGGCATGGGGTTCGAAGCCAACCCCAGCCCGCCAGCTGCCTGAGCCTGGCCAAGCTCTCTGCACCTGCACACGTCTGTAAAACGCGGATGAAACGCTTCTACTAAACCCGGTGGCTGAGATGAAATGAGTTATGGGTATAAAGAGCTTAGAACGATGCCTGGCGCACAGTCGGTGCCAAATAAGCGTTCGCTGTGGTGACGATGTTGACTCCAGCCCAAAGCCCGTGGTCAGCAGGGCCGGGCTCGCAGCGCCAGGGGGTTCCTAGGCGCTGCGCTTCGGGGGTCCTGGACACAGACAGCGGGGGCAGAGCTCCCACCATCGAGGATCCCGAGGGTCTGCAGCAGAGGGGCTGAGGCTCGGGACGGGGGCGATCGCAGCGCCCTTTCCTGAAAAAACGGCGTCGGGCTCTAAGGCGCCCTCAAGCCCTCCCGGCAGCGCGGAACCCGAAGCGCTCAGAAGCCCGAGAGCCCCAAGTCTGGGGGACCAGAAGCGCCGCTGCCCTGACTTCCGGAAG